ACAGGAGTGGTTCTCTGTGTCCAGCCACAGGTCAGCAGCTGCAGACACCGTAGGGGACTACTTATCTACGTTTCGGATGATTTCTCCCTCAGTGTTGCAGTACATAGTGAACATGGCTGATGGCAATGGAAACACAGCGCTACACTACAGTGTTTTTCATTCCAACTTTGATGTGGTTAAAAAATTGCTTGATGCAGGTACAAATACTTTAATTTGTTTGAAAAAGTTGTTTTGTGTTTTCTAGGTCATTATTCCCTCATAAATAAAGGTTTAAGTGTAAAATTTGTTTTAGTTACAGTATCTTTGAAATGAAAATTTTGTTTTGAAAATTAATAGAATCATCTTTAATGTCACAGTCTTGCTCACAATTTCGTTCCACCTCATGTACCACATGTAATGCGAATGGTAATAAAAAACCTTGACTTGACTTGATATACATATGAAAGGGACAGCCTTCCTACTTTGAAGGATTATCAACATCTATAAAACAAATTGTCCAAAGTTAAAAGCCTAAGATTTTATCACCCGCTGCCTTTCATGCCAGAGTTTTAGACTAAAAGTTTCCTGTGCTTGGAAATGAAAGCGTTCGAACTATTTTGGTCAAACATTGAAATTATGTGATGCGTGAATGTCATTTCTCAATAACACAATCTCATGATGCTCAAAGTACAGTATATATAGGGAATAAGGCTTAGGTACAACCAGCTAAATAAAAATGTGCATTTAGTCACTTTAAAGTTTATATTCTTCTTTTTTGGTTGTTCCCTTTTTCAGAGGTTACCACAGTGTATGAACTTTCATTTGTTTTAGCCCTTTCTGATGCAACCACCAGCCAGCCACCAAGCTACCACAGCCCACAGAAGGCTATCCTCTAGGGCACTTGTGGGAAGCAGATGGAGTTTAAGGGCATTGCTCGATGGTCCAAAGTAGGACGAATGACAGTGGTGGCTGGTGTGGGTGTGCCACCTTTCCCACCCACATTTTTGATTTAATGGGCAGGGGATTTGAACAAGTGACTTCGCAATCACAGTGCCTTCTTTAATCTCTGCACCACCACTCCCCTAAAAATAGAAGCCAACAATAAAATACAAAAAACACAAAAAATCTAAAATGAACCATAAACCACAACAGAATCCAAAGGACAGAAATAAACCACGGAACAAATACTAAGATGAACTATAAGGAATAAATGAAATCACAGAAAAGCACAAATATGCAAGAATCTTCCCCTTTAAGGATGGCACCTGATGTCCAAAAAAACAAAATAGAAAACAAAGTAAGAGAAAAACTAGGATGGAGGGCCAAATCAAAACTGACAGCGATAAAACCCTGGGAAACTACAAAATAATAAAGTATCCAAAAACAAGCCTTAGCACGTCCACACAGGAGGTAAGCGTTTGAGTGGATGATCCTGCAGACCATCCAGAGCAGAGGTAGGGAACCTTTTTGGCTGAGAGAGCCATGAACGCCACATATTTTAAAATATAATTCCGTGAGAGCCATACATATGTTTAAAACAGTTCTTGCCGACAGAGGCGTGTCTTTTATTCATTTAATTATCTTGTCTTTATCCGAAAAGTCGCCAAAAAGTTCATTGGCAACATCAAGCATGAATGTTTTGGCATACTCACCATCTGTGAATGACTTTCCATTTCTCACAATTGCTAAAGCACCAGCAAAGCTAGTCGAATTCCAGTCACCTTGTTGGGTCCAAACATGGAGTTGCTGCTAACTAGCTTGCACTATGCACAGTAGCTATTCACATGCTTCCTTCCTGCTGTCCCCCGCAGGATATTTCGATGCAAATGTAGTATAGCGTGTGTCAAAGTGCCGTTTTATATTTGACCATTTCATCAATGCAATTTTATCATTGCATATTAGACACACTGCAGAACCGGCTCTCTCCACAAAAGTGAATTCCTCTGTCCATTCCTGCTGAAAAGTACAATACTCCTCACCTCTTTTTCTTTTAGCCATCTTCTTCAATACAGGTTTCTGCAACTAGCTAGCTAGCTGTTAGGAGGGAAGTTTACTTCCTGACCATGTCACCTGTGTACGTTACGCATTATCCGATTGGCTCCAGCCACCCGCAACAATGTTTTATATTTTTATTGTTATTATTTTTTTATTAAAGATTTGTCTGTGAGCCAGATGCAGCCATCAAAAGAGCCACAACTGGCTCGCGAGCCATAGGTTCTCGACCCCTGATCCAGTGCAAAGCAAAAGTTCAGGTGGATGGTCTAGGGACTGCACCAACTGGAGCAAAGGAGAGGCATCTTCCTGGATCCTCTCATAAATTATGGAAGGAGAGGCATCCTCCTTGACCCCCTCGGAGATGAAAGGCATTGTCTTCGACTCCCTTGGAGATGTAGGATGAAAGGCATTGTCTTTGACCCCTTTGGAGAAGTAGGATGGAGAGGCATCATCTTCAACCCTCTCAGAGCTATAGGACAGAGAGGCATGTCGGCTTCCCTGATCACCATGGAAACACCTGGAGAGCAGGACCTTGAAGACCTTGCAGAGTAGTACCCCAATGACCCTGGAGACTGGGATCCTGAATACCCTGGAAAGCAGTACCCCAAGTCATTTGTCTTCTCCACAGGCCTCTGAATAGAGTATATGTTCTTCAGACTGCTTGGGGAGCATGATAGTCTCTGAGATTTCTGGAGGCCTAGAGTTTTCTGGAGGCCTGGAGCTTTCTGGTTGAATTATTTGTTGCACCGGGCGTTCAAAGATTGGAGATGCAACAGGACTGCACTGCACTTCATTTCTTACTGTTTTAAGTAAGAAATGGAGGTGGAACACCTGGAGGGCTGGTGCAGGAGGAACAAGCTTTACATCAATGTGAAGAAGATGAAGGAGATGATTATGGATTTCAGAAGGAGCAAACACACCTACCACCCCCGCTCCGAACATGTGGGGTTTTGTCCTGTCTGTTTCCTCATGTTTCCAGCTCTCAGTGTTTCCCTCCTTGGGCTCAGCCCCTGTCTCACCTGTGTCATGTTAATCGCAGGTGTCTGTCATTGTCCCAGTCGGTGACTGTTTATATATTCAGTTCCTTTTTGTCTTGTCTTTGTCTCGGGATTGTCCTCATGGTGTGTTTTTCCCTCCATCCTGTGTCCTGGTTACTAGTGAGTACGCTGCCCCATCAGCTTCTGTTTTGTTGTTTTTTGTAAAAATTAATTTTATTTTATTTTTTTCATCGAGCTTACTGTCATCCTCCTGCACTTGGGTCCAACATATAGAAGGATCTGTGGTGGAAGTGGTCTCCAGTTACAAGTACTTGGGTGTGCACCTGAATAACCTCAGATGGGGCAGCAACACTACCAGCCTGATCAAGAAAGCTCATCAGAGACTCTACTTCCTCAGGCGGCTGAGGCGAGCTGGACTGGGAAGCTCAGTCCTCACCTCCTTCTACAGGTGTGCAATGGAGAGCATCCTGTGCTCCAGCATCAACGTTTGGCATGGAGGCTGCACAGCTGCAGAAAGAAAAGTTTTGCAGAGAGTGGTGAATGCTGCACAGAAGACAGTTGGTGTCAGTCTCCCCACCATCACAGACATCTACTCCTCCAGATACAGGAAGAGAACCACCTGCATCATGAAGGACCCCACTCACCCAGCACACACACTTTTTCCCCCGCTCCCCTCAGGAAGGAGATTAAGGAGCATTAAGTGTAGAACCACTAGACTGAGGAACAGCTTCTACCCTGAGGCTGTTAGACTCATGAATCTCTAACCAGGATAATCACTGACTTATTTGTGCTGCTGATAATCCATGCTGCTGATCTCTTGCCTTTATGCTGCTGTATTCGTATTGATACCCATCTGCTCACCACAGACTCTGATTGGGCTGCTGTTTAATACACTGTATTATTTAGCATTATTAGTGACTACCGTATATCATAGATCTTTTAGCGTATCGTTTAGCGTATATGTTAGATACTGTTTCTTTTTATACTTTTTCTATTTTGGGGTGTAACTGGGACCTTGAGTACGCAATTTCGTTCCACCTCATGTACCACATGCGAGTCGAATGACAATAAAGAACCTTAAAAATTTTTCTACTCTCATATATGAAAGATTACTCAAGACTCAACTCAATACTCACCATATCCCCTCTTCCTTTTCAGCCAACTGACCCCTCACCTGTGATATAAACACTTTTTTTGTATTCTCTGTGTCTGTCTCTTGTTTGGTCTGCCACGTGTGGTCAAAACACTAACCAAAATCAT